AGTTTGGGGGAGAAAGGGCTTGTTGATGAAAGCCGAAGACTCCCGCCACGGCTGTTACAGCCACTACAATAGGGGGCTAGCTATTACAACTCCAGAATACAGCCAGCCAAGCTGTCTGTCTATGGAGGTTCCCATGCGCCGCACCAGCTGCCCAGTGCTCAGTGAGCCCCTAAGTGAGCTGCCTTGACCAGGTGAGAAAAATCCCTTGATTCCAAAAACCCCTCTGGCACCATTTCTTTCCTCCCCCTCTTTCTTTCTCCATTTTGCTTTTCTTGACACAGGGTCTCATGTAGCCCAGGCTGACCTCTAGCTCACTGTGTAGCTACATAAGGCCTTGAACTCTTTCTCTTCTGGTCTCCACCTCCTGAGTGCTAGGATTACAGGTGAGTGCCCCACACCTGGCTTTCTTTCCTCATTTCAAAGACTGAGCTAGTGGTGAGCATCTGTGTCTCCTGGTGGGCTTGGAGCAGGGCTCAGACTGGTCGGCTACTCTCTTCCTCTGGAGCCAATCAGGTGTCTGCAGAGCATGTACACTTGGCTTTGTGGGACAGATGGGCAAACTGAGGCCTCAGCCGCACAAGTGACTTCCGGAGTCATGCAGCCAGTAAAACAGAGGTGCCATCCTTTGAAGTGTGTCATCACCCAGAAGTGCTGGGAACCGCACAGAAGCAAGGTGAGGAAGGAGGGAGGGACCCAGCAGCTGGTCTCCAGAACGGGTGAACGCCATCTAATTCTCCATTCAGAGGACACCCTAAGTCAGTGGTTCTCAACCTTCCTAATGCTGTGACCTTTTAATACAGTTTCTCATGTTGTGGTGACCCCAATCATAGAATGACTTTATGCCACTGCATAATTACAATTTTGCTACTGTTATGAATTATAACGTAAATATCTGTTTGTGGGGTATCTGATCTGCAACCATGTAAAAGGGTCGTTTGACCCACAGATTGGGAACCACTTGTCTAAGAGGACGAAAAGTCAGCCCATCTCCTCCTGTTAAAATCCCACTCCTGAAAGCAAGGCTATCCCCTGACCCTCTCTTCCTCTCTTCCTTCAGTGCAGGAACCTCTACAAATTTCACCAAATTTACACCTCTTCATTTCACGCCTAGCAGTTGTTCTCAGGGTGCCCCAATGCTGTTTTAAAAATTCCTAAATTGGGTGTAGATGTCCATGCCTGCATGTGGATATATGTGTATGAGTGCAGGTGTCAGATCCCATGGAATAAGATCTACAGACTGTTGTGAGCCATCGTGTGAATGCTTGGCTTGAATCCAGGTCCTCTGCAGTAGCAGCCAATGCTCCCAACCACTTGAGCCATCGCTCCAGTCCCTCCACGTGCTTCTTGACCCTGCAACTTTGGGAAATTGTCCCCAAAGAAAAACTGTGAGCAGATATGCTCCCGAAGCTGTATCAAGTCAATGCTCACAGAGAAGGAGCTGTGCCTACAAGGTGTTGTTGTAGAAAGGTGTTGAACTGGGGCTGGGGTAGAGCTCAATGGCAGAGCTCATGTTTAGCATCCAGAAGAGTCAGGATGCAACCTCAAGAACACACACTCAAAAGTAATGACACGAAAGGATGTCTATGATCTATAATTAGGGTTGGGAAAAACAGGTTATAAAACATGTACAGTATAATTTAAAATTATACATAAAAGAGCTGGAAAGACATCCAGCAAAATGTTTACAAGATCTCTGCTCAGTGAAATTATTATAAATAATTTCTTCTTGACTCTATTATCAGTACTACCTTTCTTTCTTTCTTTCTTCCTTTCTTTCTTTCCTTCTTTCTTTGAAATAGGGTCTCACTACGTAGACCAGGCTTGCCTCAAACTTGCTATGTAGACCAGGCTGGCCTTGAGCTCATAGTAATTAACCTGCCTCTGCCTCCTGAGTGTAAGAATCAAAGGTGTGTGCCATCATGTCTAGCAATATTGTCATTTCTAAAGATGAATATATCCTGTTTCTGTGAATTTAAAGAAAGCTAGCCAGGTGTATTAGCACACATCTTTAATCCCAGCAGCTGAGGTGGGCCACTGAGTTTGAGGTCAGCCTGGTCTACACAGCAAGTTCCAGGACTATTCAGAGATACTATGACTCAAGGGGAAAAAAATGAAAAAACAAAACAAAACAAAAAACCCAAAAAACAAACAAGCAAAAAAAAATCTACCACCACCACCAACAACAAAAAAAACAAACACACAAAAAAATCAAAAGTTAATTTAAAATAGCCTTACTCACAAAGCATGATTATGCTAGAAAAAAAGTGTGTACATATATATATATATATATATATGTGGATTTATTAAAAACTACACAATAAATCATTAAATATTATACTATCATTAGAATGATTACAAATACTTTAGAAATATTTAAATATTTATGAGAGTCTAACTGAGAAATAGCAGACACAAAATGGAACGTGCCCCACAGTGGTAAGCATATGCAGTACCCATGCAATGAAGCAAATGGTTTCCACGTAGTGGGATGGAGCATGTGCAAGTTCCTCCCTCATTTCCAAAACACAATACTTCTCCTTTGCAATAAAAGCGAACAGCCAGGTGGGGCATGACGGCTCACTCCTGAAATCTCAGCATTTATAAAATGGAGACAGTGGGATTAGGAGTCTAAAACCGTTCTTGGCTACATAGAGAGTTCAAGGCCATCCTGGGCCATAGAAGATCTTGTCAGGTTAAGACAGAATTGTGTATACCTGTAGTTCCTGCATTCAGGAGCCTGAAGCAAGAAGGATCACTCAGGTGCCTGCAATGTGTATTGGTACAATAATGGCACAAACAGGGGCTGGAGAGATGGCTCGGTGGTTAAGAGCATTGCCTGCTCTTCCAAAGGTCCTGAGTTCAATTCCCGGCAACCACATGGTGGCTCACAACCATCTGTAATGAGGTCTGGTGCCCTCTTCTGGCCTGCAGACATACACACAGACAGAATATTGTATACATAATAAATAAATAAATATTTAAAAAAAAATAATGGCACAAACATTAGGGGAGTAACCAACCACCTTTTGATTGTATTCGAGGCCCACCCCATGAGATGGTCCCCATACACACTGCAAAAGTGACCAAGAACCCAAGACTAGAAAGGTCTCAGGCCTAGGAGAAAACCTGCTACTACTGTTCTGGTGAAGGGACATAGCAATGACTCCTCATCTACTGTGCTCGCAGATGAGCGATTCCCTCAACCCTCACCAGAGAAACAAATTTGCAGTGTGTGGGAAGCAACACAGAGATCCATGTCTCAGTTATTTTTCTCATGTAATAATAAAATGCCATGATCAAAGCAACTTAGAAAAAAAGTGTTTAATTTGGGGGCATGGTTTCAGAGGACTAGAGTCCATGACGGTCACAGTGGGGAGCTTGGCACCAGACAGGAAGGCATGTCGCTGGAGCAGTACCTGAGAGCTGACATATTGACCCGTTAGCACTAAGCAGAGAGGAACTAATTGGGAATGACAGCCTTCCTCTAACAAGGCCACACCTCCCAATCCTTCCCAAATAGTTCCATAACTGGAGAACAAGTGTTCCAACATATGAGCCTATGGGGGCCTTCCTCAAATGTTCGGAGAACGAGAGACCTTGGAACACTCAATCCTGAATGGGATGTCTCCCCTCAGGGGAAAGATTTCCCTTGAGGGGAAATCCCTCCCCTCAAGGCTTAGGGGTTTATTTAGAAAAAGAGGTGAAAAGATTGCAAGAGCCAGAGGCATTGGATGATTCCAAAGAAACAGTGTCTCCCAAATACAACAGGACTATGCACACATCAGCTCAGAGACTGTGGCCACATGCACAACCAGCACGTGCACAGCCAGACAGTCCCAAACCTGAGAGGGAAAGTGGACATGATGGCCCGCCCTGAACCAAGAAGCTGTTTGCAATGGATACTCTCTGGCAGAGATAAAATCAACTTTTCCCAATGGAGGATCACTGGGTCTGTCAACCGCATTCCAGGGCAGACTCCATGCGCAGGAAGAGTTGGCCAACACAAACTAACTCCATTTGTGTGTGTGTGTGTGTGTGTGTGTGTGTGTGGACTTTTTGCTTCATTTTGATTTGTTTTTGGCATTTTTGAAATCTCATTAGTTCTTTTGATTTTCTTTTTTATGGGGTTTTTGTTTGTTCGTTTGTTTGGGGGTTTTATTTTTGAAAGAGAAAGGGAATAAAATCAATAAAATCGAGTGGGGAGGAGGTAGAAAGGATGGGAGGAGTTTTGGGAGGGAAAACCAATCCAAATATAGGGTATGGGAAAAAAAACCAAAAAGAATGGGAAAAATTAAGAAAAAAAAAAAGAGGAATTTGAAAGCAAACCGGAAAGCAGAGGAAGATGAAAGAAAGGAATGAGGTTTGAGACTCATGAACTAAGGGAGAGAGAGAAGAAAGGAAGAGAGAATGTATTCACAGGGAGGACCGGTGCTCAACACTGGGCCTTAATTCTAACACATTTGTAGAGTCCCAGTCCACCACCTCAGCCCCACGCTTCATGAACCCATTCGGTATATGGCTTCATATTGCTAATATGTAAATGTCTCACTTCTGATTTTCTTTAAACTTTTTAATTTTTATTTTCTTGTGACATGGTCCCATTCTGTATCTCAGGAGGCCCGGTACTCACTGTGTAAACGAGGCTGGCTTCAGTACTCACCGTGTAGACCAGGCTAGCTCAGATCTATGATGGTCCTTCTTCCTCTGCTTTCCAAGTGCTATGGTTACAGGATGAGTCACCATGCCAAGCTCATTTCATTTCCACAGTGAATTCTGTTTACTTGCTTGCTTTTGAGGCACGGTCTCCTGAAACCCTGGCTGGCCTCACTCACTCTGTAGCTTCAGATGACCTGGAACTTCAGATCTCCCGCCTCTAACTCCAAAGTGCTGGGGTCGAAGGTATGCCCCACCCACCACATCTGGTTTTATGAGGCTCTGGTGATTGAACTCTGGACTTTGTGTGAGCTTTGAACTCTACCAAATGAGCCACATCCCTGGCCTCAGCCATGATTGTTTTACAAGATATGTAAGTCACTTAGGGCTGTACTGAAATCCAGGGAACCCCCTTCCTCCTCCCTGTCTAGTCTAGAAATGCAGGGCGATCTCACAGGTCAGTGCAGTGGCTTCCGTCAGTCATTGCAACAAGGATGTGAAATGCGGAAGAGCATCTCTCTCTCTCTCGGCAGCCTCTTCCTCTGCGCTGTTTCCTCCGTGCATCTGCTTCAACCGGCTACTCAGACCTGCTGTCCAGTACTGGGTCTCTCCGGACTCCAGAACTGAGTTTAGGAGACAGGACTGATGGTCCAGCTGCCTGTGGGGGTGGGCTGTGTCATGCTGTGCTGCCTGTGTGGTTTCTATGGATCCCTGCCATCCCTACATGCATAAGGAAGAAGGGATGGGTAGAGGTAGGTCAGATAGCTGAAAAATCAATACACATTAGGCATGGCAGGTCTTGTTACGCACTTCTTTGTGGAGGAGACCCTGAGGAGTTAGTTAACAGACTTGAAACAGAGCCACTCTTCAAGGTCCACTCCGCCTCGCCACCCATGTCTGCTGATGAGTGTCAGTTAGCCAGACTAAGCATGTCCTAGAGAGAGGGGACGGTACACACAGAGGTCTAGAGGCCAAAGGAACTAAGGAGTGGAAAAGAAACTCAGTGGGACTGGATTATGGGAGGGAGGGGCCCATGCGGGTCAGGGGCCTGTAAGCAAGGTCTTTCTACGTTTGTAGGTCTGAGGAGGACAGTGACATGCATTTGTAGCCAAGGGGGCATTTCCAGCTGGATGGACCAGGGCAGGTAACGTGAACAGGAGCGGGGCCCAGTGGCCTAGGCAAGAGTGCTGGGAACTGAGTGGCGGAGAAGGTCTTTGGGAGCAGGGGGAATCAAGTTTTGTGTTCAGCTGACTGGCACAGGGAGCTGGTGGGAGGGAACAGAAAATCTCGATGGAGGTTGTATGTTGAACAGGCCACTCTCAGGGGCTGTAACAAGTTGTGGGAGATCTGTGTCAGACATGATTGTACCAAGGAACCATGTAGAAGGGGCTAAGTCTGGAGGGCTCAAGCTCAGAAGAGAGAGGGGTTGAGACACAGATTTTGGCAGCTGGAGATGTAGCTCATGTGCCATGGTGCTTGCTTAGCGTACACCAAGCCCTGGGTTCAGTCCCCAGCATTCAATAGATGAGGCACAATAGGATACGCTTGTCTCAGCACTCCAGGGCTAGAGTTAGAACATCAAGAGTTCAAGTTCACCTGAGCTGTTTGAGGCCCTGTCTAACAAACAGAAGACACATTTGGGGGGTCATTTATACACATTAACACCACATCACATTGAGGCAGCAGGAAAGTTGTGCGAAGTTGAGAACCTGTCTGGGTGTTTGGAACCCCTGCACTGAGCAGATGGGCATCGCAGTGAGTGGAGGGGCACCTGAGGTGGGTGGTGGGAAAGCCAGGGCGGGCATGGTCAGTGCTGTTAAATAAGGAAGGAATGAGAAGGAGCCGCTAGATTTAGTAACAAGGAGGCCAGTGGTAACCTCCAAGAGATCAGTTTCCATGGCAAAATCAGAAGGCAGTAGGCTGAGGAGTGAGTGGGAATGAGCAGGCAGACACTTTTCCAATAATGTGACCATAAAGGGGCTAGGAAGGAGAAGGAGGGGCGGGGAGGGGTGAGACATAGAGGGGTGAGGGCCTGAAGAAAGTCACCCATCGGTGGGAAAGACCCAAGAGAAAGGTGTGTTGACTCCATTAGAGGGGTGGATGGTCACCAGAATCTATCTGGGAATGGAGCTGCCTCTTGTCCAGCTCTCAGGAAGCTGAGGCAAAGGTCATCAAGCTCACAAGTCCGAGGCCGGTGTAAACCACATAGAGCTGTAGTTATGATTCTGTCTCAGAAAGCAGAAGGTGGGGTGAGGCCCGAGGAAGGGAGCCTGAAAGGGAGAGGCTGTATTTGAGGACCTCCTATAGCTTCAAAACAAGAAAGTGTGGGAGCTTCAGCTCTGAGAGTTTAAAATGCTTGGAAGATGTATTGAAGGCACTGAGAGTCACAATCCCCCTTTTCAAGATTACTGTAATAATCTGTTTTTATGGCGTTTCCCTTAAATTCTCCACTTTACACGTGAAAGTTAAAGAAAAGGTAAATCTAGAAAAATGATGTAAAGATCTTCCTCCTTGCCTCCCTCCCTCCCTTACTTTCTCCCTTCTTCTCTCCCCCTCCCTCCCTTTCTTCTTTCCTTCCTTCCTAGGTTTCTTTCTTACTTTCTTCCTTTCTCTTTTGTCTTTTTTAGACTGGCCTTGAACTCATTATCCAGATGAGCCTGGCCTTGAACTCTTGTTCCTCCTGCCTTTTCCTTCAAGCTCTGCACCACCTTACCAGAAGGAAAGGACATTTTGAATGAGTGGACATTAGTTAAAAAGAAAAGAAGAAAGAGTTAATTATGTTCATTTCAGGAATAAACAGAAACATAAACTGTTACCTACTGGTCGGAAAAGAATACTTTGTAATTAGCATAGAAATTGTTTGCAATGTAAATTCGTCTCTGAAGCCCTTGACTAAGCGCAAAAACAGTATTTCATATTTTAAGAATCCCCTTGTGGGTAAAACCACTTTGTATCTATTTTAAGACCTTGTTAAGTCTGCTTAAATGTAGTTTAAAAAAATTTTTTTTCAAGATACTGGCTACATCAGAAAACAGCTTCTAGCAAGGTAAGGTCATTCTCTGCACCTGTGCTCCCAAAGGCCATTGTCACCTCAGGCAGATCTGATGGCGGGAGATTGTTACTAAGGGAACTGTGGGGGTGTGAATGTAAATTTCCTTTCTCAAAAGATCTAACCAGAGTATTGATCCAAAGGGAGCAGCCAGTAAATGCAGGAAGGAGAGCTCTTTGCTAATCCAAATAAATATAACTAGAGGAATATACAAATACATATATGTAACTCCAGGTTTTCCCTTTGAGCTGCAGCTCCTACAGGAGGAGGCTGGGGAGGTAAAAAAAACCCAGTGGCTGGGAGCCAGAAACACTGAGAAGCATAGAGTGCTGTAAGACGGAAGGCAGGATGGCTATGGGCAAAGATAATGTTCTAGATAGATAGAACATAGATAATTATCTATGTTCTATCTATCTAGCTATACGAAGGTTCAACTCTTGGGGAGCCCAGGCTGGCTTCCCAGTCTCCCTAGGTAGCTGAGGATGACTTTGAACTCCTGATCCTCCAGGCTCTACCTCCCAAGTGCCAAGACCTCCAGTGCTGTAGGCTGTGTGCCGTCTTCCTCAGCTGCTGGAATTCTTTGTCTCTTGTAGCTCTGGCCAGGCCCTTGACCTGCACGATCATGACACCTCACACGCAACCCTCTCAGCAAGGCGAGGACATGGCGTGCCTCCTCCTCTTCTGTTTCCTGCTGGATCATGAGCACAAGAGTGACGGAGTCAAGACTCAACTCTGTAGTCTGGATTCCTTCCCATCCCCGCCTCCACACCAGCCTCAGGTGAATCAGAAGGTCTTACATAAGGCTGGACAAGGCCTCTCCAGATATTATTTTCCAGTTCCGTCCCCGGCTCCACTTCCCTCTCCATCTCTCCTGTTCCCCACACCCCACGGCACTCTAATGAGCTGCTCCATGTCCTGAAATATATGCATATCCTTGTTAAGGATATAACGTTGTTTTGAATATGTATGCATTCTAAACTTAAATAAAAAGGCATTGTGCTATCGACTACAGTCTTTTCTTTTGCCAATCAATTGTGCGTGTGTGTGTGTGTGTGTGTGTATACATACATGTACATATACATTCTTTTTGTGTGTTTGTTTGCTTGAGGTCTTACTGTGTGGCCCTGGGCCTGGCACTCACTATACAGACCAGACTGGTTTTGTGTCACAGCAATCTCGCCTTCTTCCCAAGGGGTGGAACTGCAAATACGATCCTTCAGGTCCAGTTCCGATTGTGTATTTTAAAGATCTCACCATGCTGCTGTACACATCAGTAAACACACAGACATATTCGGTTCACTGCCGCTAGTGCTCACACAACTGTACAACCAGTTCTAGAATGTTTTCCCCACTCGCTTCTATCCATCACCTCCATAAACGCCTTTCATTTTGTTTGTTTTATTCATTTTGTTGTTCAGACAGGAACTCCCTATGTAGCCCAGGCTGGCCTTCACCTCAGTCTCAAGAGCCCTCTCTTCATATGTGTGTGTGTGTGTGTGTGTGTATATGTATATATGTATGCAATGTATGTATGTTTCTGTGTATAGTATACATACATACACACATACACACATGCATGCATACACACATAAATGTATATACATATAAACACACATATATATTGTTGTTGTGTTGCTTTTGGGTTTTTTTTGTTTTTTTAAAAATATTTATTTATTTATTATGTATACAATATTCTGTCTGTGTGTATGTCTGCAGGCCAGAAGAGGGCACCAGACCTCATTACAGATGGTTGTGAGCCACCATGTGGTTGCCGGGAATTGAACTCAGGACCTTTGGAAGAGCAGGCAATGCTCTTAACCACCGAGCCATCTCTCCAGCCCCCTTGCTTTTGTTTTTTGAGACTGTATTTCTCTGTGTAACACTGGCTCTCCTCCACTGTACACCAGGCTGACTTCAAACTCAGGGAGATTCACCCACCTCTGCCTCCCGAGTGCTGGGGTTGAAGGTGTGCCCTACCACGCCTGGCTTGACTTCTTTGATTTTTGATCCCTCACATGTGTGCAGCAGTTCACAAGTGTGCCTGGGTTGGCTTCTGAGTTCTCTGCAATTTCTACTTGTCTGCTTGCCTGTTTGTATTCTCTCATCCCGCAATCAGTCTCAGATTTTACTACTGTGAGGGCAAATGGCCTTTGCCAAAGTCATACGCCCAGGATCCCACTTTTCAGAAGTTATCTCACAGACTCACAAGAAGGAAGCAAACTGATGTTTATTTGTACTGATTTACTTGCGAAGCATGATATAAGGGCCAAAATTTGCAAGTAGTAAAAAAATTTCAAAAAAAAAAAAACAGTGACAAACTGAGTACTAGATTGTGCTAAAAATAAAGCGAATATTACCTATACCATATATAAAGTCCTCGAAGCTACACAGCTGAAAAAGGAAGGTATGGAACAGTGCATATAATATGCTTATTTTTGAGGCATGAGGAGGCAAAACTGCATATTCAAATCTATGTGTATAAGGTCATTCTGGAAGGACAGAAACACAAGAAACTGAGACCAAGGGTTTCTTTGAGGTTTTGGGACCTCAGGCAGCAGAACAGCAAGGACAGGGACAGCATCCCACCACCCACACTAGAACTGCGTGAAAGCATACATTTGCCGAAAGTAACCAAAAGCCTCGGCCCCTTGTTCGTTGGTAGAGAGATTGCCTAACATGCCTGAAGGCTTGGGCTTCGTCTCAGCGCTGAAGAAGCAAAGTAACCTACACATAAAGAAAACAATGACTTGGGACGTCACGAACATTCTCTTCTGGGTGAGAGTTAAATCTGTTGAGGCAGTGTTTTCCTGTCTGTGTGTCTGTGCATACATGCCTAGTGCCCAAGGAGGTCAAAGAAGGGCCTCAGATCCCCTACAACCGAGTCTCTCACAGACAGCTGTGAGCCACCATGTGGGAGCTAGGAATCAACCCCGGGTCCTCTGCAGGAGCCGGCAGTGCTCTGGAGGTTTTGATGAGGATGGAATCCTTTACTGACCTTTGCTCGCTCTGTCAGTGTCAAAGTACAGTGAGAGCCACAAAGTAGGACGAGGGCGTTGTTGGGCGGTGACCAGGCCTAGCAACAGTTAAGAATTCAGGAGACAGTCTCCAAGCTATTTCTTTTCCTTTCCTTTCCTTTCTTTTTTTTGAAACTTTATTTTTAATTTCTAAAAATTATTATTTTATGTGTAAGGATCTTTTTGCCTGTCTATATGTGTATATATTTGGCCTGTATATATATATATATATATATATATATATATATATATATATATATCCACGCACCACTTGTGTGCCTGGTGACTGCAGAGGTCAGAAGAGAGCATTGGGTTCCCTGGAACTGGAGTCACAGACTATTGTGAGCTGCCATGTGGGTGCTGAGAATTAAATCTGGGTCCTGTGGAAGAAGAGCCAGCGCTCTTAACCATCTCTCCAGTTCCTTTTATTCTGTCTTATCTGTGGTGCTGAGGATGGACCCCAGGGCTCTGTGCACGCTAGGCGAGTGTTCAAGCACAGTGCTACATGCCCAGGCTAGTTAATTTTTAAATTTCGAGCACACAGAACTGCCTACTCTGCTTCTGTATGTTTGCCAGCTTTATTAAGGAATTGCATCTGTGTATGGAGGAGGGGGGAAAAGAATTGCAAAACATGAAACCGTGGTACCTTCTGTCCCTGAGTAAGGACAACTTGAAGTCCGGAGGCAGGCTGGGCCTCCTCACCCACCTGGTGGCATATCAGCCTAACTACAGGCAAAGTAATCAGAAATCGGTCTCTGCGAATCCAAACCCCAGGAGTGCAATAGGGTGTGCCTTGAAAACTTGTTTGCTTTGTTTGTTTTTTTAAACATTGGTCACATGTTTTGTCCTGAAGGATCATAGGTTCCAAATTAGTAGAGTCAAAATTAATGAGACTTTCCATCAATAAGCCTTGAGAATAGAAAGTCGGAAAATCTTCTAATTATAGGCCAGCCAATCACCGAAGCACAACTTGGATACAGGCCTCTGAGAAGAGGGAGATAGAGGAAGCGGGGAAAACCCAGATGGACCAACCTGTGGGACCATTCTTCCTGTGTCTGTGCCCTTGCCCCTGGATTTGGGGACTCAGCACCCAATGCTTCCTGCCTCCAAATCTCCCCTCCCGGGACAGGCTGTGCCAGGGCTGGCTTCTGAGAACTTTGTAAGTCTTCAGGCCAAATTCCTGGAACCTCCAGAATAAGGCCCAGTGTGGAGGTGGGGGCCTATTTTCTACTTAGTTCTGGGAAGCAGTTGGAGGGGGAGAATGGCGGAGCGTAGAAAAGGCAGACCAAATACCCATTCTACCCTAGCCTGTCCGTTTCCTTTTTCATCTCTTTATCAGTATTTGTAACTGAGCTTCTTATCAACAGGAAACGCCTGCCTGAAGGGATGAGGCAGGTCCAGGGGGATTGGACGCCAAAGACTAAGAATTCTGGGTAGTGCCTTGCTGCTGATCTGCCTGGCTGAGCTGCCTTGGGATTTCCAGGATCCAGACTCATTGCCCAGGCATCTAGTGACGGCTGAAGGAGCTCCAGCAGGAGCCTCAGGGACCAAGGACAGGTCACTATAAAGTGAGAATTGTCTTGCTTTAATCTCTATCAGTACCCCTCCTTCCCAGAGGAGAAGCCAAGTACCTGCCAAGGTCATAAGTCATCCCAATCAGCCCTTTTGGGTATTTGCCTCTGAGTCCTTAGGCTGGTGCTGGTGAAGGGCACAGCCATGGGACAGGCACAGCCATGGGGCATAGACTTGGGGCTGGAGGGGAGGAGGGGACTGCATTTCTTCCTATTTAGCAGGTGCTTTCGAGATATTGTTCACCACCTGGGCATGGTGACACAGGCTGGTAACCTCAGTACTTGGGGAGTTGAGGCAGGAGGGTGGAGAGTGTGAGGCCAACCTGGTCACGATAGGGAGGGCAGCCTAAGTTCTAAATTCTGTCTTAAAAAACAAAAATCATCAAATTAGGAGTCTGGTGGCTCAGAGGGGTCTTCCAGGAGTGGCGGACTGAAGGTTAGATTTGTTGCCCTAACGTGATTATCTGGGGGCAAGCAAGGCTTTCTGGGTGGCTCAAGCCCAGGTTAATCTATTTTTCTCGCTGTCCTCCTCCCTCTTCCAAACTGTCAGAAGACAGAACATTCAGACTGGCAGTTCTGGTAGCAGAGGCAGGAAAGGAGCCAGAGCACCCAAGTCCTAGACCTCATTTGCAGCTCTCAGCTGCCCTTGAGCAAGCAGCCAGGCTGTGGTGATGGAGGTGATAAGGTGCGGGCTGGGTCTCCACGGACAGCCCTCCCCCGCCCCCTGTCCCCCGCCCCCCTGTGCTCCTGTGGTTAGGATGTAGGTCAATAAGAGTGGGTGGGTGAGGAAGAACAGAAAAGAGACTCATCTCAACATGACACCCCTCAGGGCAGTGGTGGCAACACTTGAACCTGGAAACTGCCTGAAAATAGACAGTGTGTCTATGACATTATGCAAATTATATGCAAAGTCAAGAAGTCCTCTGTCTCTATTTCTAGCAAACTGAATGTGGCCCTGGTAGAGGCAGCTTGTTTCAAAAGTCGCCCACCCAGAGCTACCATCAGTGCCAGCCCCGGGACACTGGACTTGGCACCCCCCCTCCCAGTCTACCTCAGGGTGGGGTTTCAAAGTATGATTTTGCCATTTCTTGGGTTACTAATCATTTCTTCATTCGTTTGCAGCCCCGGCTGGCCTCTGAAATTGTGTTGTAGCTGAGGATAAGCTTGAAATTCTGATCTTCCTGCCTCCTCCTCCCAAGTGCTGGAACTGCGTGTGTGCACCACTATGCCTGGCTGAGGGATAAAGCAGAGGAAGCAGGGAACCTTCCTTACAGGTTGGTGTGAGGCAGGACTGTGGGAGGTGGAGCCTGGGAAGAAAAAGAACTGCCCAGGAGGGCCTGGGTACCAAGAGGCCTTGGCAGAGGAAGAGTCGAGCCTCGGGATCCCAGCTATGCTGCAGGGGCACCTCAGCTCGGCATGCTGTGGCATCCTCAATTTTTATATGTAATAAGGAAGTTGGAGACTGGGGTTCCCCGGGGAACTCAGGAAAAAGAAGCAAAGAGCAAAGGACTTAAGGGTTCTCTTTTTCCCAAGGCAGTAATGGGGATGTGCGTGTGCCCAAGGGCTCGGGCCACAGTGGCCTCACAAGGACTTTTCCAGAGCCTGGGGAAGGGTCGGTCCTGCCAGATCCTGCCCAGCCTACATGGAAACCTTGCACTGCCGGTTTCCCACTGCCCTTTTTCCAGTCCTCAACCACACTGTGACCATCTGCTTGCCAGTGGGACCATTGCGCCCTGGAAGGAGAAAAAGGTGGGAACATCCCCATCGTCTAGGGGCTTCTTCCAGAGTCCTCTGGAAAGGTCTTGCCTGGTGTGTGCGAGGAAGGAGGTCCATGACTTCAGTACAGAAGGCTGCGGGGTTTGGGCATAATTATAACAAGGAGCACGCTAACTTGTCAACCGCAGAAGAAACTGGACACTCTCCCTATTTTCCTGAGAGAGGTTCAATACCCTTTTGTTAGAAAGTTTGTATTTCTGGGCTGGACAGTACCAAAAAGCTCCTTCGGTACCTGTCCTCCATTTTCTATCCCACCCCTCCAGTGGCGTGTCGCTCACAATTTTCCGGGTGGCGAGGGAGGGGGCATGAGGTGTTATCTGAGCAGGGATCGGCTTTCAGGTAAGAGGAGCTTTTCATTCTGGGGGGGTGTGGCCTGACTCCACACAAGAGGTAGAGAGCATCTGAGGAGGGAATTAAGAAGGAACTGAACAGGGAGGGGCGGAGCCGCCTCTGAGTAAGGACCCAAAAAGCTCCTTTGCTAGGTGTGGCTTCCAGGCACAGTCCCTACAGCGGAGAAGAGCTGAGCGCACATACGCAAGCACGCACGCTGCGGTGTGGATAGGGAGGAGGGCCTGGGCCTGCTGGGAGGAGCCAGGCGGCTCCGCGAGGCCGGGGGTGGAGTGGGGTGGGTGCGGCCTTGGGCAGCGCGTTGGCCAGCAGAGGGCGACGTGGCTGGCGTGGATCAGATTGCTTCCTACCCTGGAAGAGATCTAAAGTTTGAACCTCAGCGCGGTTCTAGTTCTAGAGCGGTCTTGTCCAAGGGTAATTTGGTGATGTGTGCTTTGGGATCCTCTGCTTCTCGTCCCTTCGGGTTCTCTTTGGACCTCTGCGACTGGACCACTGCGGAGGTACTAGCCTTAGAAGACGTAGCAGAAACTCAGGAGGCAACTAAGTTTTATTCAGGCCCTACTACATGCATGCCACCAGCTAAATGCTCCCATAAACGGTATCTTTAAGTACAGAAAGGTAGGTTCCATCCGTACATCTGCTCTTAGAAGCATTTGGATTTAGCTGTCTCTAGAGAGCCCCTTACTTTTCTATGCCCCCGTCACTCAAACCCTCCTTCAGCTGCTCTCCGCTTAGGATTTCCTAGCCCTGGAAGAGCTGCTGTCTTCAGTTTCTGGCTGTGGAGTCCAAGGAGGAGTTTGTTCCCAAGTCCGGTAGAAATAAAATCCTTCAGTCAGGAACGCGATTCCCTGGCTGCCGTCACCAGAGAATCATCCACTGTGCCCCACTGGTCTGGGAAACGCTGGTCTACTTTCTGTTTTCATATAGTTTCACTTCCTGGTTCTCCTTGGTCCTTGTTCATTGCTGAGGCAGGCTTGAGAAAAACGGCGATGGGAGGACATACAACAGAGACACTCGTGGGGAGTGTGTGTGTGTGTGTGTGCGTGTGTAGGCCAGCTAGGCCAGGTCTTCCTAAGATTGAGGATGATCTTGCCTCTTGCCTGAGCCCCACCCTCCCCTCCTTAAGCCTTGCTGTAAGCCACTTCTCTTCAGTCTGGCCGCCCAGGCTTCAGTTGCCCTCGTCAGCACATGAGTGTATACCCCTCCATTTCTAAATGCCAAGCTTTTGGTGTTGTTCTAGGCTAAGTTCTCCTGAGGTACACTTTCTGGGGCCTGGAGTCAAGGCCAGGAGGGAGCAGAACCCTGGTAACCGGAGGCTTCTTGACAGGAGACAAATTTCTTTTCAGTCTTGGAAACCACTCCTGAGCCCTGGGACAAAGAAGGCCAAGCCACAGAGGGAGTCAGAGGGTCCGGTGCTGCCTGAGTCCCAGGGTGGCCACAGCTGCAGGAAAGAACTGGGGTTTGGAGAGCGGACTAGGAGATGCCTTAGGTTGTCCTGGACCCAGAGTTATTACAAACCCCAGCTTGAGGCAAACGACTGGGGAGGGACACAGGAGCAGTTGGTGAGTGATGGACTGAGCTTTCATGCATGCTGAGCTTCAGGAAAATCGGGGTCAGAGACGCCTCAAAGAACACCCGGGCCAAATCTAAGATCTTAAGACAGCCAGGTCCCTCTCCTATTGAACAGAGCAATGCTGGCTCTCCTCCACCAATTTCGATCTTCCTTCTCCTCAGAAGACCCTTGGATTTTGATACCCTCACAAGTCAGCTGGGATGGTAAGGGGACAGAGGGTGGCAGGATCAGGCGCCACCTCACCTGAGAGACTGGCATTCACTAGTCTAGTCAGGAAAGGCATCATTGAAGTGATAAAAACCCACAGTGAGAAACTGAGGCCGTTGCGTCTCTTCCGCTGGGCCCTGTCACGATGGAGTGTCTGCTGAAGCTGGACAGGGCTCTGTGCCATCCTGGCAGCTCCGGTGGGGCAGTAAGGCTGACCAAGGGTAGGAGAGATTGCAAGCCCAGGATTTGAGCCCGGGGTTCTCTGGCTTGGCTACCCTGCCCTGGGAGTGGCAGGGGTGTACCCTGCTGACTTTGGGGATGGGAAGTCCAGCCAGGCGTCAGAGAGCCCGCCACTTTGAGCAGGCCAGACAGAGGCAGATCGGATTTCAGCCCAGTTGTATTTTTGACTGGATGGGCTGGGGGCCAAGCTGGGCAGGCACACACAGGGCAGCGTGCACACTTGCACTACCTCTACCCAGATAGGGTTCATCTTCTGCCCCACCACACGCTTCAGGTGAAGGAGTCCAGCGACCCTAGGCTAGTGAATCACTTTGGGCTTCTCTGGGTTGTGGCTGAGCTTCTGTAAAGTCTTCTTGATGCGTAGCGCGGTGAGGCGAGCAGAGGGGTTGGGGTACCAGCATTCCCGCATCATCTGGGCCAGCCCGGAGAGGACCTGGGGGGTGAGAGACAGGCAGAGGAGTCGGGAAGATGGAAAGGAGGCAGAGGGTGAGGAAGCAATGGCTCAGTGTGGGAGACATAGCAGGAGAAAGGCCAGGCCAGGAGGGAGAAAGGCAAGAAACGAAAGAGAATAGAAGGGAGAGGCAAGGGTGAGGAGGGGAGGATAAATGGAAAAAGAAAGATGGAGAGCGAGAAAGAAGGCAGCAGCAAGCCAGCAGGAGAGCCCACCCTGGAGAACAGCCTCTGCAGCCCCAGACCTGGTGCACAGGGTTCCGGGACCCAGAGTGTGGCAAGGGTGGGCATTGCCCCGAAAGTGCCTCTGTCCAGGAAGGAGCCTATCCCAAGAAGTTCAGTGGCCCTTGGATGTGGCAGCCTGTCTTCTCTGGCTCCTGAGAGTGAGTATGTGCGTGTGCACAGGAATGCATCTATGTGGCCTCTTGTGTATACATGCATATGTTTATTATCTTTCAGTAAAAATTCACTGAGTGCATCCAGTTACTAAAGTGGAAATATTAGAGTGAGAAGTAGCAGGGGCTTTTTGAAAGGAGCGGGTGGGGGGGTAAGAGAGGAGAATGAGGTGGATGTAGTCAAAACACATTATGTTTGCATGAAATTGAAAGGAGAAATTTATTTTGAGTTTTGTTGCTGTTTTTCAAGACAGGGTTTCTTTGTATAGCCTGTAGACCAGGCTGGCCTTGAACTCACAGAAATCCACCTGCCTCTGCCACCTGAGTGCTGGGATTAAGGCCTATGTTGCTGCTACACCCAGCTCTTTTTTTTTTAAAGATTTATTTATTATGTATACAGTGTTCTGCCTGCATACCAGAAGAGGGCACCAGATCTCATGATAGAGGTTTGTGAACCACCATGTGGTTGCTGGGAATTGAACTCAGGACCTCTAGAACAGCAGCCAGTGTTCTTAACTGCTGAGCCATCTCTCCAGCCCCACACCCAGCTCTTAAAGAGATTTTTTAAGGGCTACATAGTAAGACCCCTGTCTCAAAAAAAAAAAAAAAAAAAAGAAAAAAAGAAAAAAAGGAAAGCTAAAAAACAGAATTTTTGTCCTCATGGTACCAAGAGTTTGCCTAGATGTGTATGTGTGTACATGTCTGAGAGTGAGTATTTTGAAGCATTTATACTATGTTATACTATATTTTATTATATTACATATATGTGTATATATGTAATGCATGTTTTTATATATACTTGTAGTGCTTTGTGTAAGTGTGAAATATCTTGAAAAAAAAATCAAAATGAACAAGAAAAACCTGATAGGAGAAATTTAGCAGCAACCCTCTAATTCTCATGGGTAAGGAAAAAGGTTCTAAAAAAACCTTCTATCCAGGAAGCCCAGAATCCTGAATCCAGAAATCCCAGCTGAGAATCAACCCACCCCAGGCCAATCCCAGCCCAGCTGCAGCCCATCCCCCCAACAGAGGCCTTACCGGATCTGCAGCCAGCCGGTTAGGAATGGTGGGGGTCTGCTGGTCAACACACACCACCTTTTTCATGTCTTCAAAGCTGGGGTCATTAGGTACCATGTCATAGAAGGGTGGCCTGTAATCCTCCACAATGCCTGGGGTTCAAGGGGATAGTGGGATCACTTGGAACTTAAGGAGACCAGAGGGAAAACTGCCTGGCCTCTGCCCCAAGGGACCTGGAGTTAAACCATATTGCTTGCTAAAGGTCCAATCCTACAATGTAACAATTGTAGGCATAGCACAGAATTACTATGTATTTTGTTCTTCCCAGGTGGTGTTTGCCTTAATAAGCACATGACACACTTTCCCACTAGTCCTCCTGGTGCTGTGCGTGTCCTGGATGAAGAGACTCAGGCTGAGAAGCACTGGACACAGGCTGCCTAGCCAGTCACAGCAGACTCAGGACTTATAACCCATCTTAGCTTCCTAGGCAGGATCTCATTTCCATCGTCCCAAGCTGTCTTCCATCCTGGACCTGGGTAGCCTGGGTACCACTCCCTGACTGGTGATACTAACAGCTGGTATTCCAGAGCACTTCCTGTGTGCCAGGCAGGGTCCTTGGTGCTGAGCATGGACCTCACAGCAGCCTATAGGGACTGTAGCACTGTAGTTCTCCTCATTAGCCAGACCAGAAGCTCTAAAGACAGACTCGTCTCTAAGGATCGACTGAAGGTCAAAATCCAACACCAAATCTCATGCTTCTGACCTCTCAGCTACATCTATGGTAGGACTGGAACAGGGACAAAGGACAGAAAAGACACCCCTCCTAAGAGGAAATGATTTATTCCCTGGTCCATAGCATCTACTCTACTCCCTATCAGGGAAGGCTCATCCCTCTGCAGACCCCACAGCCAGCAGTGTCCCCACCCCGTCTTATCCCAAGGGTACCAAAACAGGAGCCCTTTTGAAAGGTATGCCTGTGGGGTCAGAGACAGTCCCATGCCTCTTCCCGCTTCCCAACCCCAGGCTGCTTTTGTGACCATGTAGGCCACAACTTCAATGAAGCCTTCCCCAGCTGTTCTCCCCATGGCGGTCTTCCAGGCCGCCCCTGTGCCACTGGCGCCCTAATCAGTGATTTGCAGAGGCCTGAGCGTGTCTAATGAGCCTTTAATCAGTGCCGGGGCTGACACCAGATTACAGTGTTTATAATGCGCTCGGAGTCTGTGTGGGGCTGACGGAGCTTCCCCTCCGCCCAGGGAGCCCAAGGCCGATCCACCAGTCCTTCCTTTCCTGCCAGTAGCCAGGCCCAAGAGTTCTTTGGTTTCATTGAGGTGCCCCTTCTCTAGCTCCAGCCTCACATAGCTGACTCTAGCGGTTCATGCCCAGGGACTGGAACCCTGGAGACCCTCGGAGAGTGGTGACACATGGGTCTCTGCTATCCACGGGTGACCACTGAGGAAAAATGAAGTTGCAAAAGGCTGGCTCCTGGTGGATGCCCAGGAAATGAGAGCATCTCTGCTCCCAAGGGGCAGAGCTCTAGTCCGGCCCAGGGACTGTCCTAATCTTTCAGGACTCCTGGCAACCGTTGTCATGGACAGCCTCCAGGAAAGCTAACCTTGCAGTAGTCAGCCTGTGGTCCTCCATCTACCCCGAGACTGAGAGGCCATCAACCCGGGCTGCACGGGGCAGCAGCATAGGACGAGGGCTCTTGTCAGCCTTTCCCAGTTAAGGTCTCCCATGGCAATCAACTGTTGTATGAGGCTGCAAGAGGCAGGCAGCACAGATACCGGATAGCTCACGTGTGAACAAAGAAGTCAAAGAATTAAGGGTCAACATTTCATTGTCACATGACAGAGGACACTGGCCCAGAGTCAGGTGGCCTGGTTAAGTCCTGATGCTGCCTCTAGCCAGCTAGAACCCCGCCTCTTAGACTCTTCTTTTATAAAATGGAATAATATCACGTAGGTGCTTTTTCACGATAACCACTAATACTTAGCTCTAGGCACTGTTTGCTTTTTTGCTTCTTTCATTCTTTTTTATTTTTATTTCTTTTTTATTTTTGTCAGGGTCTCTCTGTAGTCCTGGATAATCTGAAATTCACTATTTATATAGACCTGCTGGCCTTGAACTTGGGGCAATTCTTCTGCTTCCTGAGTACTGAGATTATAAGTGTGGGCCACTAAGTCCAGCTTCTAGATATTGTTCTAAATACTTAATTTTGATCATCTCTGTGACTGAAGCTATTTTTTTTAAATTCTAATTCCACATACAAACAGGCTAAAAATACTCACTGTCATAACGAAAACTGTAATTGAACCTAGCAATCCGACCGACCAATGCCAACTCCTACCAAACAGGAGACTTCATTAAGACAACACCTTCAGAGTGTGCGTCGTGGCACATAACTAAGTCAATAAATGCTAGCTTAGCTGCTTCCCTGCCCCTCCCCACGCTCAGTATCAAAACCAATGGCCTTGAACACGTCAGGCAAGCATTCTACCACTGAGTTGTATCCTCAGCTCTGAATACTTATGGGGTTTTTGTTTATTTATTTGTTTCTAACTCAAGACTTCAAGGGCAGATCCACACCCTCACAGGCTCAGAGGAACCTTAAAAGTCCATCTGTGCTGCACTGGCTGATAAGTAGAAGTGAGGGGACGCTGGGAGAGCTAGTCTCAAACCCTCAGGTCACAGGCACCAGCCCCCCACTTCCCACCCTCCACCCCCACCCATAAGGAAACCCAGTCTCTATCTATTACACACACACACACACACACACACACACACACACACACACGTGTGCGCGCGCACACACACGTGCACACACACACGTGCACACGCGCGCGTGCTGCATGCGGTGGTCCCTCACCATTGATGATGGTCCGCCGGGCGATCTCCCACAGCACTAGGCCAAAGGCCCAAACGTCCGTCCACTTGTATGACTCAAAGCAGTCTGTTCGGATCTGTTCATCCAGCACCTCAGGTGCCATGTACCTCTTGGTCCCCACTCGGGGGTTGTTGCCAATGTCCAGGTAGTCACTACCCTGGGAGTGCATCACAGCCAGTCCTGTGGGTATTTGGCTTGTCAGTCCTCCAGGGCACCCACAGAGGACGGCCACTCCCATCCAGGGGAGCCCAGGCTAGAGTCAGATACAGTGAGGACAGAAACAGACACAGAGGGGCAAGGCAATGGAGACCTGTCCTGAGACAGCCTGGAATACAGACGGGGCCAGAGGGGAACTTCTGTCCCACGTACACTTTGCTTTATACCATTCTTAAGGTTCCCAAGAACTCAAAGGCAAAGTAGGCATTATGATGCCCATTTCACATCCTAGAACTTCCAGGCAGGAGAAGTCAGAGTGAGATGTTCCTGCCTCCCAGTTCCCTTTCTGGAAGTAGAGTAAATGGCGGAGGAGTCTGGGCTGGAAACAATTTGTTTGTTTTGAGACAGGGTTTCTCTGTCCTGGATCTCACTCTGTAGACCAGGCTAGCCTCTAACTCAGAGATCCCTCTGCCTCTGCCTCTGTCTCCTGAGTGCCCCGGCTTGGAAACAGGTTTTAAAGCGCTAATTCTCTCCTCGACAGAAATAGGCAGAACTGAACATATGAGCCCCACCCACCTGTGAGGTTCCACCCCTCCAGTCCTGCTCACCCAGGTCTGCAATGCAACATTGCAAGTTGCTCTTGACCAGCACATTGCGGCTCTTGAGGTCACGATGGGCGATGGCTGGTTTGCCTTGAGTGCCAAAGATCTCTACGTGCAGGTGTGCCAGGCCACAGGCCGCAGACACGGCTAGCCTCAGGGCCAACTGGGGCTCCAGCGTCTGCCTCTGCAGAAAGTCATAGAGGGAGCCGTGCTCGTGGTAGTGGGTGATGAGCCACAGCTGTGTGCTCGAATTGCGTGAGGTCATGTCAGAGGCGATGAAGCCTGTAGGTAAAAGGGTGTGATTGTGATTCTGTCAAAGCACCGAGGAGGAAGGAGTGGCAGGGGTGGTGAGGGGAAAGCTAAGGCTGAGGGGCTCAGAAGGGGAAGGGCAGAGGCTGATGACATGGCTGGAGTCAGAGGTTAAAGGTTGAAGGGTTTTGGGAGTCACTCAGGGTTAGACCAATGCCCAGCATTCTGTCTATTCCGGTCCTGAGCTAAGGGACTTGGGACACCTAGGCCTGGAATAGCAGACGTGTCCCCTCCTTGCCTAGGATGTTGTCGTGCCTAAGCAGAACTGTGTTGTAGATCTCTGTCTCCCGGAACCAGGACTGTTCATCCCGTGAGGAGAAGATCTTGACCGCCACACTCTCGCCGTGCCATGAACCCCGCCACACCTCGCCATATCGGCCCTTTCCTAAGCCAAGGGAAGAGCAAGGGTCACACAACGGTCCAACTCCGAATGCTACAAAGACACCTTCTGCAAATCCTGAATTTATTTTTTGACTTTTTTTTTTTCAGACAAGTTCTCATTGTGTGTCACTGGCCAACTTGGAACTTGTCACATAGACCAGGCTTGAACTCACAGAAATCTGCCTGCCTTTGCCTCCTAAGTGCTGGGATTAAAGGCGTGTGCCACCACACCTAGTTTTTAAACTTTTTAAAATTACATTTATTTATTTGTGTTGTGTGCATGTGTTTAATGCACACAGGCTAGGATCACATGTGTAAGTCAAAGGACAACCATGGAAGACGGTTCTCTCCTTTCACCAAGTACATACCAGGGGTTAGACTTAGGTCCTCAGGCTTGGTAGCACGCTTTACCTTCTGAGCTATCCTGCTCTCCCCAAACCCGAATTTCTACATAACTTAATCCACATCCTGCCCCAGATTTGAGCTACCCTTAGGTTGTTATAACTGTCCTTGCAGAAGAACCTAACCTGGATCCGTAACCAACCTGTGTCCTGCCCAGTGGAATCCCTTATTCCAGCCCAGGCTGGCCCTACTTGTGATCCTGGAGGCCAAGAGCTTCCTGACTCTCCAGGGTTACCGGACCCTTTAGTCCCTGGCTACTCATTGCTTACCCACACACTCCACCAGTGCGACCTGCCGGGCTACTGTCCTCTGCACCAGGAAGGGGAGTCCCGAGCCACTGCCCGTGGTGCAGTCGCTGTCCAGGAAGTCCTAGGAGTACCAAGTAGCCACTGAGTGGCTGCCCATCAGCCACAGCCCCTTCTCCACTCCCTAC